CTCTACGCACACACACACACACACACACACACATATATATATATATATATATATATATATAAATACCAGCGATTAGTTTTTTGTTCCCCCCCCCGTGACTTTAACTTGTGTTGTTCGCCCCTTCATTGTTCCTAGTGTCTTTGCTCTCTCATTCATTAGTGCATACAATCTCACTTCTACAGTTTTTTCCTCCTTTTGGTAACAGGAAAACAAACAATTTCGCGCAATGAGTCAGCGTTCCAGCACTTCTGAGTTCGGCGCCTTTGGCGACTGGAAGTCGGACGGCTTGGAGTCCGGGTCGGAGGCCTCGTCAGAGAACTCCTCCTCCATCGTCTCCAACGCAGCAAGCGGCTACTCGCTCCTGACGGCGAGTCTGAGCCGGGGGCCGCGGAAACTGAGCATGTTGCCCGCCTCCGACCTCGAGGAGGAGATGCGGAACGAAATCGAGCAAAGCATCGGGACGGGGGAGTGCAACCTCTCTGCGCTGGGTCTGTCGTCTGTCCCCTCCGATCTCCCGGTGGCCTCGCTGTGGAAGGTCAGCTTCGCCGAGAACAAGTTCACCACGCTTCCCGCCTCCCTCTTCCAAGATGACGCCTTTGCGAATCTGGTGGAGCTGGACCTGAACACGAACGAACTCGCCTCGCTGCCGTTGCCCCTGTTTTACCTTCCCAAACTGGAGGTACTCTCGCTGAACACGAACGCCCTCGTCTCGCTGCCGTTTGAGGGGGTGAAGGGAGCGGAGAGGGATGCGCACGGCATGCCCTTTCTGCCAGTCGTGCGCCGCGTCGGCATGGAGTCGAACCGTCTTAGACGGCTGCCGATGGAGTTTCTGGCGTGGTGTCCGTGCTTGGAGGAGCTGCTGCTGGCGATGAATGAGTCCATGCTTGACAACCCTGTTCCGTACGAGAAGCTGACGCAGCTTCACCGTTCAAACTCAAAGCGTGTGTTGCTGAAAGTAGACAACCGACCGCGCTTTGTGAAGCAGATGGAGATGGAAAAGTGGCCGACGACGCTGCGGTGGCTGAATGTGGAGCTGAACAAAATTTACCCCGACAAGGTGCTCGATTTTCTCTATTTAGGGTCCCTCCGCACGGCACAGACGGTCACCGTCTACCACGATCTCGACATAGGCTATGTCCTCACTGCCGGGCGCAACTTAGAAGTCGTGGTGGAGCCGTGGATGAAGCAGTTGGTCGTGGGCGTTGATGACTACCCTGAGCAGGGGATGATCCCTATTTTCGAAGAGTCCTTTCGCTTTATCGACGAGGCACGGTCCAACAAGAAGGGGGTGCTGATCCACTGCTTCGCTGGTATGTCGCGCTCTGTCACCATCGCTGTGGCGTACATTATGCATCTGAAAGGCTTGACGTGCACTGAGGCCCTCTGGATGGTGCGGCAGGCGCGGCCAGCCGCCAGACCAAATGAAGGCTTTTTAGGTGAACTGAAACGGTATGAAGGCATTCTGAAAGAGGAAGGCATCATCAAAGAGTAGAAGGGGAGCGTTTTCTCTTCTTCTTTTGCACACGAAATATATTTTTATGTTTCCTTTTCCGGACTTCTCTCCTGAAAACAAGAGAGGGAGAAGCATTAAAAGTGGCGCGTATGGCAGTGAAAATGCGACCTTTTGTTGATATTTTCTGCACTTCACTTTTTTTTTGTAGACCGGGCTTTCCGCCCCTTCTCAATGACACTTTGTTTTACGCCAAATGAGCACAGTGTCCTCTACATTTGTAGTCCCTTCTGCTTTGTTCCACGCGGCCCTCCCTCGCAATCGATGCAACATCATAGAACGCCTTAAGACGACCTCGTAAGTGCGTAAGGTAAGTGTAACTCACGACGCACAAAAAATAGGTTAAAAATAAAAAAATGTTCATTTTTGTTTCTCCTTTCGTTTTTACTTTTCCCTCTATCCAAGGCGGGTATTCTAAACGGTACTGACGGGTTGCTTCTGCGTTTCCTGGGTGTTGTCACCGTGATGCCATCGTTGTTGTTAGCTGAGAGGTGTATTCACGACTTCTTCCTTCAAGGCGCTCTTTTAAGTGGAGCTGGTTTTTATAATTGTTTTTTAGTACTGAATGAAAGAAAGGAGGACTTTGTGTCGAAAACGTTTGCTCGTGTATGTTCATAAGTGTTGTTTCTAAAGGGGTGGGCCTGCTAGTGGTATGACCACGTGCAGTTGCTCACCCGTGTCTACCGTGTTTGCAGTCAATGTCGAAAAGCATTCGCGCACAAATATGAACCGCTTATCCACCGAGTTGCATGAAGTTGGTTTCCATTGGTGGGTATCGAGGTAGATGAGAATAGCCCCCAAAAGGAGTGTGGGAGAACCAAATAAATGCGCAACCGTGGCCCCAAGAGCGGCTCTCCTTGGCGCCTCAATGAAGTACTCGCCACAATCAACGCACCTTTTCACAGTTAAACCCGTGGCGCTGTCTGGAAGCGTTCGCCGTTTCTTGTTTTTCTCGCGTTTTCTCTTTTTGAGTTTCATCTATCGCTGCAGGTGACTCCCCCATTTTCCCTCTCCTTTTCTGTTATTGAATCTCCTCCGTGCGCGCTGCTCTTACGCCTTTTATTATTATTATTCACTCTAACTTTTTTCGCTTTCACAGCGCGTCCTCGACACACACACGACATCGACAGCAGCAGCAGCAGCAACAACAAAGAAGACAGTTGGATCAATCCAGCGTCGTACCGCTGTTTTAGAGAAGGGGATCTATTTGAGGTACCTGCACGGGGAAACGAAAGGATAAGCTCTGCTAGCGCTCTCCCCGTTCCCTTTACTGCTTTGTTCTCCATTTTGCTTTTACTTCCTTCTACAACGCGTACCTCCCAATATCGACGTCGCTGCCTCTGATCCCTCTCTCTCTCTATTTATCGTCCTCCACCTGATTGTGACAGCACTGAATAGATCCAACCGAATACAAAAATGTCCTTCCTCGTGAGGCGGGCAGCCTTCTTCGGCACCGTGTGGGGCGTCGGTGACTTCTTCGCTCAGTTCTACAGCGCCCACCAGGAGGCCGCTGCACGCAGGGCTCGCGGCGAGAAGCGCGACGGGCCGCGTCCGTCCGGTGCGCAGATGCTGGCCCTACTCGACAAGGAGCGTCTTGCGCAGAGCTTTGTGTTTGGTCTCGTCGCGGGTGCTTTCCTGGCGCAGTACGAAAGGTCTCTCCCTCGCATTTTCGGCCGGCTGACGCGCAGTGCCACGTCGTGCCTGTGTGCTCTCAGCCTGCAGCAGGTCGCCGTGACGCCTCTCCTTCTGTGGTCGTACTTCAACGCCATGACAGCCGTGCGGGGCGGACTGGCCGACCCGAGCTTTATGAATGCACACGACGCGGGGGCCTACCAGCGCAACGACGTGGCGAGCGTGGAGCGGCACATCTTGAAGGGCGTGATGCCGTACCCGCTGCTCACCGCATGGGGCGTCTACACGCCGCTCTTTATTTTCGCCTACGTTGGACCGTTCAAGGGGGCCACATTCTTGTCTGGCTGCCTCTTCGTTCCGTGGTGTGGGCTGCTGTCTTATACCCAAGACAACGAGCTTTTGTGAGCTGAACTCGTACCCGTCAAGAATAACGGTACGAGTGTGCTTTAAGGAGCTCATTGATTTCGCTAGCGCGCCATGCGCTCCAGCACACGTATTTTTGAATATTCCCCGCAGCTTCGACATAACTTTCTCAGAAGGAGCAAAAGGTTATTTTCCCCCTTTTGGCTTGTTTGCCTCTCTCACTTTTCTATCGCAACGCCAGCTGTGCGCAACGAAAGGATCGCGACTATTTGCACCGCAGAGAAGCTACCTTCATCGGCAAAACTGTAAAAAGAAAGAAAAGAAAACGGCAAGTGTTGCGGACACTAAAAGCGCCATCTTCCGGCTGCTGCGTAAGCTCGACAGCTCACCGCGCTATTGAGCGAGACGCTTTTTGCTCTTCTTCTCAGCTTTGAAAAGCCTCCACGCAGAAAACTCGATGCGTGCCGTACAGAATCGAAGCTCCTCATCTACTGAAGTCGCCGGTGCTCCCATAAGTGTTTCAGCTGTAAGTAGAAGCACTACGGCTTGACGGTTTGCTTCACTCCCTCCCGTCTCCTTCTACGTTTGCCTTCTTCTTCTCTCCTTTCCTTGTGTGTGTGTCCCACCATTACGCACCTGCTTTCGACTTGACGCCGCACGTTGTCACAGCAGTAAGAAAGCAAGCTGCCACACCCTCCAGTCTCTCTTCTTTTATTCATTTTACCTTTTCTTTTTTCTCTTTTACTTATTGTACTTTTCCTTCATTGCGCTCTTTCCGTATTTCCATAAGCTAGTTTTTTTTTCTGTTTTTCTGTTTGTGCTGTTTTTCTCCGTCGCACCCGCACGCATCATTGCGTGAATGGGTGGTGAGTGTTTCTCTTCAAATTTGTGTTTTCTTCTGTAAACGCTAAGTGTTTTCTTTCGTGTTTCTCTTCTCGTTTAGATATTTTGTCTGCCTTCGTTGTTATTACTATTCTGTCTTTTCCCGTGTGTGCGTCACATTGCATTGCATCTGCGACGAGGCCAGCTGCCCCCCTCTACTCAAACTGTTCTTCAAGTTGTCTTGTCGACGGCAGTGGACCGCGCAGGTAACTTGTCAGCCAAAAGCACTTTTTTTATTGATTACGTCGCTTCTTATCTTGTACTCTTTTGAACTGCTGATTGTAACATCTATATATTTTCCCTTTTCTCTTTCCTGCGGGAAGGGTCATCTTTTTGTGGGTTCTGGCGACACGCGCTATTGACTCGCAGTCGAGATCGTCTCGACCTAGTTCGACCTGATTTTCATTTCCCTTGAAGACCAGAGATCGAGAACGGCGCCGTCTCCCTCTGATGCTGCCGCAGATCAATTAAAGCGCTTCGCTTTATTTTCCCTTGGCCCCATTGCAGCCCACCATTCTCACTTGTCTAGGATATTTACCCGATTTGGATGGACGCAAGACACGACTTGTAACTCTTTTCGTGACTTTCATATCCACACCGATATCAGCAGAGCCGCTGAGTTGCTGCGAGGGAAAGCACTGAAGCACACAATAAGTCTGATTCAACTTCCTGTCTTTTTAGCTCTACTTCCCGCGTTGCTTTGCTACAACGCCGGCAATGATCATGACGTCGATCGACTGCAGAGATGTGGAGAGCACAAAGAATCTGCTGAGCAGCCCGGTGACGTCGCCATCGGGCGAGGGCGGTGACGTTGTCTGCGGTCTGTCCGCCACAACGAGCGAGAGCTCCTCGCAGCCGACCTCATGGACCAGCCGCCGCGACTCCCCCGGCTGCAAAGGCGGCTGCGGCTTGACGTCCTATATGCCGATCGTGGACGAGGAGGATTGCCCCGCACAGGACTCCTCAGACGGCCGCACATCATCATCGTCAGAGGAGGAGGAGCCGCAGTCTCCGCTACCAGCCGCACGCGTGAAGGCGTATCACAAGGCCGCCTACGAGCGCCAGGTGCACCGGTGGCAGCAGGTGGAGGCCTTCTACATGAAGCACGAGGGCTGGAGTGAACACCGCGTGATTCTGCTGCTGCAGGAGGCCTTCCGCAGCAGCTACGCAAACCTAAAGAGGGCCCGTGACGCAGGGACGCTGAGCGAGACCGTCTTCGCCGCCCGCGCCGCGGAGATGCGCAGCTCGCTGGCGGCCATCAAGAAGGAGTATCGCCGCACCCTGGAGCGGACGAAGGAGCGCAACGGCGATCTCTCCAGTATCGCGAGCAAGGCGGTCACCTGCATCGCCTCCGTCTACCCGTGGAGCAGCGAGGGCTTCGTCTTGGGCTTTGAGGAGAACTTGAGGTACGGCGACCTCGCCGGCATCTCAAGGGACAGCGCCCGTCGTGGAGCCACACTGACCTCCCCCACCGTGAGCAGTAGAATTCCGGTCACGGCGCTGCCATCGGTGAAGACGACCGCGGTGCCGATGCCAAAGTTGGAGCTCCAGTTGGCGGAGAAGGACGGCGACGAGGGCGAAGATTTGGGCGTCGCGGAGAGCGTAGTGGGGTGCGGCCGGGCACGGCGTGCGGCGACACCACGGGTGATGCTGAGACCGCTGCCACCGCGCTGTCGTCTCTTCCATCCCCAGGCCGCGGCGGCGGGTGGGGTTGGCTCTCCGTCGGCGTCGCCCGCGCATTCCACTGCCCCGACGACCGTTTCCTTTCTGTCTGCCTCCCCGCAGTTCGACAGCCTGACGCTGAGTACCATGGCCCTCTCACCGTCTCCCACCGGTCCGCTCTCGCCCGTGCTGATTCCGCCCCCCTCCGTCGCTGGGCCACTCCGTCCTGGCGAGGCGCGCTTCTTGGAGAAGCGGCAGCTGTTGGTACAGGGGATGGCCTTCGTCTCGTGTTCGCTGGCGTCGAGCTCCTTCATTGCGAGCCGGCGTGCGGCCATCGCGGCGTCCACGATGCGGCTGCGTCTCGGTCAGGCGAAGGAGAAGGAAGAGGAGGGCTGCGGCTCGCCGGTGGGGTCTCCATCTGGTGCGTACACGGTGAAGAGCGAGGCACCCCCTCAGACGCAGCAGCAACAGCACGCCGTGGCTGCTCCAACGCTGCCGACGCGTTACACGGCGGAGGTGAGTCCCGTGCCGCGTGAGGCGGCCGTCTTCGACACAAACTCGAACAGCATCACGCGGCGCAGCAACCCGAGCAGCACGACGTGGGGCACTGTCCTTGGCAATCCAACGTCTTACAGAGATCCCAGCGGCCCTGTGGCGGCGAGCGGCCTTCCGGACACCGTCACCCGGCCTAGTGTTCCGAACACCAAGATCAACACGAACAGCGGCAACACCCTTCTTACCCGCAACCTCACCTCCTACATGGACCCAACAAGCAGTGGCGTCCCTGCGCGCGGTCAGCCGCACAGCTACTCGACACGAGCCAACACCGGCCCGATCGTGAAACAGCGGCACCCCCACAGCTACACCGGACGCAGCGTCGGCTCCCCCATGCGCAACGCGAAGGCTACGTCCGCTGCAACAAACATGGCGGCACCGCCGTACGTGTCCGCAGCGTGTTCCACCTTCCATGTGGATGCGCCACAACGGGGGGCGACGGTGGTGGGACTCCCGACGTACGTGCAGGCTATGCCGACACCTAGTGAGCACTCCGCCGTCTACACAGTCTCTGCTGGTCACCCGGCTCCGGCGGCCGTTCCGCCGCCGCCGCCGCCTTGCTACGCCTCTCACGTACGCAGAGACCGCATTTGCGTGCCGTCAGCTTCGTTTTGTGGCCCCTACGCAGCCATGACTCCGGTGTGCGTGGCGGATGATCAGTACGTGAAGGAGCTGTGGTAATGACAAAGCAGGAGGCGGGTGCCCGCACGCACGCACGTGAGCGCTTTGTGAAGGCACCCGCTCAAGCCGCCTTCTCCTATGCTTAGAAGGCGTTGGCCCAAGTTGTGGTCAACTCCGAAGGAGAAGGCAAACGTAATGCATGGAGTTACTCCGTCGCACCACGCGTGCTACGGCAAGAGCACAACTGCTACGCGGAGAGTTGAGCAGACGGAATAAAAATGCAGCGAGGAGGAGGGAGATAGTGCGAGGGAGTCGGTGTAGCCCAGAGGGAGGAGGGGAATTCAATGCCTCCTCTTTCACGTAAACGCGGACGCTTGATCTTTGTTGCCGTCATCGCGTATGCAGCTTTCAGGTACTTTGTGCCGACACCTCGTCTTTATTCCCCCCGCCTTTTTTTTTGCCTGTTGGTCGCTCCGGTTTCTTCCTGTCCTCGTCTCTTTATTTGTCGCGTAGCAGCGGGGCTTCCTTGAGACATTCACAGCAGCATTTCGCTGCGGTGAAGAAACGCCAATAGTTTTTTGTGTTCTCCTCAGGATTGAGTGTATTTACTTTACTTTCCTTTTCTTTTCCTCTTACACGTTTCGTTAGGATCGCGGGGGTGAAAGTGTATGAAGTACTTCCACTTCTCTTCTCTGCTTCTTAGCCTGAACTAAGTGAATGTAACGATGAACTCCAGCAACAGCCTTTATGTTTCTTCGAATCCTCTTTCCGTTTTCACGATGCCACCATTTGTGATCCGCTGAGACCGCACTCGCTCAAACTGTAGCCGGCGTCCCACTTACTTTACGCAACTACCTTCTCGACACATATTTATGAGCACGGAGAGCGTCGCACGTGCGTTGTGGAGCGCTTGATTCATTCGTGTTAGTATTATTCATATGGATTTCTATTGCGTGTAAATTTTTGCTGCTACACTTCTTTGACTTCTCTTTTATGCCTTTTCACGTATTTTCTTGTTTTTTTTCCTGTTATTATTTTCGTCGAGTAGTGACTATGTCACTTCTCCTTAAGGTATTTGTTTATTTATTCCTATATAGCGCAGCGTGACTTGCCTCCCCCCGTCTTCTCCACTTGAACGTCGGTTTACTACGAGTGCGTGCCAGAACAAGTGCGGGGGTTTATTTCCTTCTCTCTCTCCATCTTCGTCTTTTTGCTTTGCGTTGAGGACTTTCTTTTGTCGTTGTTGTTGCGTTCTGCGGCAACCATTTTTAGATTTCTCTTCTTAGTATTGTTCTCTCTTCCTCCCCTCTTCTTTTTCTTTTTCTTCTTGTTCTAACGTTTACGTGTGCTCCTTCCTTTCGCTCGCATCTTTTCTTTCACCGCGTCATCTCTCCTCTTGGCTGTTTGAGAACTATGCTTGCTATTTCTTCTCGCTTTTATCGAATGGACTCGCTTCATTTTTTCTTGGAATGAAATCGGCGTAGTGTGTCGGCCACACGCTGCTGATGCTCATGTGCGGGATTGTGTGTGTTTGTGTTTACGCGGTCCACACATTTGTCCTCTGCACTGACGCGCCGAAACAGCTTTCTTTTTTATTTATTCTTCTCCCCTTCAAAAAAGGGCAAAAAACGCGTAAAAGGGAAAAATTGTAAAACACACAAGCTATTAGATGTTTGTGTTCCTCTCTTCCCTCTCTTTCTCTCTCTTCACGTATTGGTTACTCGTAGGTTGTTCTATCGACTTCTTCACGATTCTATATGGATGTTTTGACATCCTCCTTCCTGTTATGCTGGTTTCGTTGCAGCTCCTTGCTTTCATATATATTTCTAGTGCGTTCTCGTCTGCGTGTCCTTCGTTGCCTCACATCGTTTCGTTGTTTTCACCAGCTTATATCTTTCCGCTCACTGCAATCCATGGTGTCTAGTTTCATTATTATTTGTGTTTTGTGTGGGGGACCGCTCTTCACCTCCAGTTTGCGCCCACTACTGGGGTGAATGCACCGACTCGCGCCTTTCACCTCTCCCTGCCGTTGCTCGTCTCCGTTGCAGCTGAAAGAGGTGGGGGTGACGGTACATGTTTGTGGTGGGGGAGGGGACGGTGGCTTTGTGCAGGAAAGCCGGGGTGTTGTCGCCGTAGGCGCAGAAAGAGAAAACGCGGCGCAGAACGCGCGGAAGGGCTTCTTTCTTCTGTTTGATGCGAAAGGGGAGAAAAGTGTATATTTCGTCTGCCCGAACAGCAGCGACCTTACCGACTCCACCCGAAGACGTGGAGCCTGAACGTCTGGTTGCAACCCCCTTTTTGTCGTCGCTTCCTTTTTATTTTTCCGTGTGCGGCAGCGCTGACAGCGTTGAGGAAAATTCGTAGCTGCTACCGCAAAGAAAAAAAGAGAAAACGAAGGTAACTAATTTAACAAGTCTCACTTCTTTTGTTTTTTCTTTCTTCTTTATCCAAGCGAAACAATTTCCTGTAGGCTTTGCTGTGATCCGTTGAGATTCGCGTACGTTTGTCAGACGTGTACTTTTCTTATCTCTTCTGGGTACAGCTCAATCGTTTAGTTTCCTTCACCTATTTGGGCTCCCGTCCTTCACGCAGTCGCGCTCATCACAACCAAAAAGCTGAGAGCGCAGATGATTTGACAGCGAGACACCTATCTTGTAAAGAAAGGTTCATATATATACTTTATAAAGTGTATACAATTAATTTAATAACCGTTGCTGCTGATAATAACTCCTTTACTGATAAAACGTACTTCCTCTTGCGCATGTTTTTCCCCCTCTCATTGCTATTTTTTTTTTGTTTTTAAAGACCCCAGATGCGTGAGTGTGCTGTTCATTGCACGACCGTTATCCTCCGCTGTCTTTTCGGAGAACTCTCTTCCTTTTCTCGTTGCGTTTTAACTGTGTTCACCTTGCTTTTCATATATATATTTCCTCTGTGGTTTTAGTTGCTGATTTGTTGCTTCAAACAGTATCTTCTTTTTTTTTGCAGGCTGCACCGAGGCCAAAGAAAAGGCTAAAACATGGACAGGAGCCAGCAAGTGAAGGAGAGGAAATGAAAAGTGGAGGAAGGAGTGCGATGAGACAGATTGCTTCCGAGGACTGAAAAGCCCTTCGGATTCTCTTTTTAAAAGGAGAGAGGGAATAAAGGCAGAAGAAACCCCTTTTCTTTTTTCTCTTTTGCTGTGACTTAGTGATTTACTACTTGCCTTTATTGTATGGTTTCTGGGTGTGAAAGCGGAAAGGAAAGAAGATCGTTTTCACTACTCTTGTTTTTGCTTTTCTTTCTTCTTCTCTGTACAGTATATCATTTAAATCGCGACCGACGCCACGCGTCGGTCTCATCGGAAGCGACATCAGAACTCACTGAAAGCACCGCTGTTGTCGAAGAGAGTTTTCTTTCCCTCGTGTTCGTAAAAGCTGTCTCTCTCCCTTTTTCCATGGTGAAAGGTCGATGGAAATCGAAACGGGAGCAACAGTCTGTTCGCTTTCTGGCATTTTTGTGAGAGATTTTGGAATGCCAATTCTATTCCTGTCGAAAGCAATACACGCTTTTTTTTCTCTTGTCGCACCCTTTCCGCAGGGAGACATTTGATGCGTCTTCCGGGAAGCCTGACTGCCAGCTCTATCATTACTATTTTGTTGTTTCTTTATTTTGGACTCTGTTTTGTTCATATCCTCTCTGTGCGCGTAACATCGAGACATTTGTTACTGCTGACTTTTTTTCCCCATATATTTGTCTTGCTAAACTGTGTAAAGCGGTCGTCTATATTTGTATCTCTCTCTCGTAGTGAGTCGCGTCCCGTGTGCGTCTGAGAGGTTGCCGTTCTTTCCCACCTCCTCTTCACTTGCTGTACGGAGCTCACTGGTAACGAGGGCGCGTTTGTTTTACACCCTTAATCGTGGAAAGCGACACCACTCTTTAAGCACTTATCTATACGACAGTTCTAAATTCCAAAGTTGAGGAGAAATAGTAAGTCAGTCACCTCCTACGATGCACCGTGTGAGACGTATTGTGTGCTGCGGTGGAGGAAAATGTGCGGTGCGTGTCTCCGTCGTTCAATGCACGCGTTAGCGAAGTGAGGAGGGAGAAGCAACGACGAGCGCTTCTTTTTTTTCTTTGTAACGCATCTTCGCCTTTCGACTGTCGTGTGTGGCTTACCTTCTCGACAGAGTTGCGAATTGCCACCCTGGCGCGGCTTGCAGAAGTGGGTCCGCATCGGCCGGTGGAGCTCGCTTTATCACGGCTACTCTCCCTCTTCCTTCTGTTCTCACCGTGACTCGTCTTTTTGAATCTTCACGACGCATTCCTTTCCGCGCTCGTCACTCCTCCACCCTCCTCTGCTGCCCCACACAATCATCGCATTAGAAGGAGCAATGATTAACGCACCGCACACTGCCCATCAGCATTGCTCGCTCAAACATTAAGTATCTTTTTTCTAGCTTCCATTGTATATCTCGTCTGTGCTGCCTGAACACCAAATAAAGCTCATACGCCGAAAGTGGCTTCGCGCCCCCCACAAGAAGATCGAAAAACTAACAAACAATTACAGTTACAACACCCAATCGACGGCACTAGCGCCGTCACGTCTCTGTCATGTCCTTTAGCCCTGTTGTGAAAAGTAAACGAAGCTGTCCCACGGTTCAGTGGGACTCCATCCGCCTGCCGGCGCAGCTGGAGGCGCTGCTGGCCGCCAGCAAACAGCACAGGCTTAACGGCACCATTTCCGTCTTTGAAGGCTTCGGCTCTTTCCACTCCGAAAATGTCGAGGACTTAATAGCAATGGACGAGGCGACCTACAAGCCTCCACCCAACCTCCCCGCCTTTGCCAAGCGCATTCTCTCCCAGCACGAAATCGCCACTGTCGTGGGCGATGAAGAAGACCCGGCGGGAACCGACACACTATCTTTAGTCCCTCTCGCGGGACGCAAGAGAAATCGCTCGGAGGCCGCCCAGCGCGCGTGTGGCGCCGTCTCCTCCGCAGGACTCTCCGATACCACGGGAGAGACACTGGGCAAGGACGAAGACGCTCTCTCTGGGGCTGGCTACTCCGACAGCGATGACAACACGCATACCGGCAGCGACGTGGGCAGCGTCGACGACGTGAAGAACCGTGCGTCGCTGCCAGTGGTGGGTGGGTGGACGTCCGCGGCGGAGCGCACGATGAACAACCTGCTTTGTCGGCCGATGGCTCTCTGCGAGATGGGACGCGCGTTCCGCGAGCAGTACTTCTCTATTACACCCAACATGGTCTTCATCAACCACGGCGCCTTTGGCAGCTCGCTGACCGGTGCCATGCTGATTAAGCGGATGTACGAGGAGCAGATGGAGAAGGAGGTGGTCGAGTTTGTGGACCGCGAGCTGCTGCCGCTCATCGTCTACAGCATCCGCTCCCTCAGCCGCTTCTTGCACGCCGACCCGCGGCAGGTGGTGTTACTGCAGAACGCGACGTTTGCGCTGAACAGTGCGATGCGGATGATCGAGAAGGACGATGTCGTGGCCTTCCTGGACACGGAGTACCTCTCTGTCTACAAGATGATGTGGTTCCGCTGCGAGGAGGTCGGCGCGACACTGCACGAAATCGCCCTCAACAAGTTTCTGCACGACGACGCCGTCATGGGCGACGACGCGGCGCTGACAGAGGAGTTGTGCCTCCAGCTCCCCCCGGGCTGCACGACGGTGGTGCTCGACTACGTCACCTCTACCAGCGCCCTCTGCTTCCCCGTCTTCACGCACATCGTACCGGCGCTGCGGGCGCGCGGCGTGACGAAGATCATCATCGACGGCGCCCACGTCCCGCTGCAGATCGATCTGAATTTCAACGCCCTCCCCGCCAACGCTCAGCCCACCGTCTTCGTGGGCAATTTGCACAAGTGGTTCTCCTCGCCCAAGTCGGCCGGCTTCTTCTGGGTGCGGGCCGAAGACATGGACAGCATGCACAGCGTGGTGCTGTCGCACGGTGCGGGCGAGGGCCTGCTGTCAGAGTTCATCTGGGACGGCACCCGCGACTACGGCGCCTACCTTTCGATTCCTGCCGTTGTGGACTTCTGGGAGACGCAGGGCTACGACCGGGTGCGGGAGTACTGCGCGCACTTGCTCTCCTCGGCTGCCGACATGCTGACTAGAGCTTTCCACTCTCGCCCGGTTGCGCGTCACTCCCCGTTCATGTCGCTGGTCGAGCTTCCGGTGGCGCTGCAGGACGAGTTGATCACCACAAAGTTCATCCAGGACAGCCTGCACGACATCTTCCAGGTCGAGGTGCCCGTGAAGCGGATTGAGGGTCGCCAGTACTTACGCATCAGCGCGTTTGTGTACAACACGCCGGAGGAGTACGTGTACCTGCGTGAGGCGATTCTGTCGATTGCGGAGAAGTGGATCGCGTCGCCGGAGCGGGCGCAGCTGCAGGCGCAGCGCGATGCGGAGAGGGCCAAGGCGGGTCAGGTGACCGGCGTGGCCGCTGTCGTTCCGTGCAGTGAAAAGATTCGGCGTCAGGGTGGCTGTGGCGTGTCGGGGCTGGATCCGTCTTTGAAACGCAAGAAGACCACCAAGTTTGCCTAAATGACTCTCCCCCCCCCCCTCCTGCCGTTGGTTTCTGCTCTCCTCTTTTCATTGTGCTGCTTTCGAGTTTTGCTTTCCCTTTCAGTCGTTGGGTTTCCCCCCACAGGAGGTACATACACATATTACCCCAAGGCGAGCAGGCGCTGCGGATGAACGCGGCACACAGCATTCTTTGTTGCGCGGTGTGGTGTTCGCACTCTTTTATTTTTCTCTCTCTCCTTCAGTTATTATTATTATTATTTTCTTCTGGTGTGTTTTGTGGCTGTGCAGCGTGCCGTGGCACGTGCGTCTCGACAGGACAGCGAGCGGTTCCTGTTATTATTATTACCACAACTACTGCGATTATTATGCGTGAAGTATAGAATACTATCACCCTCCTCTTTCTTTCTTTTCACCCCTCGTTTGCGAGTATCCCCAGCGATGAAAGAGTTGTGCTTTTGTGATCTGCGTTCTCTTCCCTTCTCTTTTGTTTTGTTTCTCTTTGACGGACTGCTTTCGAACTGTTGCATCGCCCCGATTGTGGACAAGAAGGAAGGGTGGGGCAGACACAGGGTGTTTTCCCCCTTTATTGGGGTTCAACGACGCCAGAGGCGCTGTTTGTTTCTCCTTCTTCCTTTACGGTCGTTTCAACAGTGGCTGTAAAGCAGCGGTACTTCCTTTCTGTGCTCTGCGCTTCTTTTTTTGTTTTTCCGCGAAAACGAATGCTGCCGTTTTGCATAGTAGATGGGAAGTCCCCAAAAAACTCCCCGGAGACGACAGAATTTGGTTTGGCACTTAGGGTAGGCGTTCTTCCACGGTGGCTGGTTCTACTCGCTACTAGTAATGCTAAATGAAAGGCGTCAGCAGGCGTTACCGCCTTGGTCCCTTCGCAACATTTGAGTACTCTCCATTCAGGAGAGAGACTCCTATTGACTTGTGGTGGCGCCCTTTTTTTTGTGAGCCTGCGAGGGGAATGGAAGGGACGGAAAAAATGAGTTGAATGTGATTGGCAGCGGAGAGATTGGCGGATCTCGGTCATTTAGGGTAATGCTCTAAACTATCTTCTCCTTTTCTATTACCTCCTGAATCCTGGTTCTTCCGTATTCTGGTTTGCCTGGCACAGTTGTTTTCAGCATCGAGAGAAACTCCGGTTTTTCGCTGAAATCCACCCGCCCACCCCCGGTCCCTCCCACGACAGGGACCCATGGGATCCTTAAAAAGA